GACCCACGATCATTATTTTACTCAATCGCTATAACGTATCTTTAATAACACCGCGAGAACAGAACGACACACTCGTAATCCAGCTTACATAATAGAAACGTAACGTTCATACGAGATTAGCCTAACACGATGGTACACTTAGGTCTCGTTCACAAGAACGTAAATTAGTGGTACAGTGGTACCAGGCATTTTTTATTCCCAGCCTCCGGTACACGTTTCAAGCGCGTCTTCCTTTATACGGTCGGGCAAAAATATTTTATCTCCGATCATAACGAGATTTATTCCCGACGTCGTCGCCGCGACGTGACCGAGCGTCGCTGACCAAAGGAGGCCGAAGACGCGTTCTTGTTATTCGCGTGCATGAAAACGTCCGATAGGTGGTGGAAAAAGAAAAGGAAAAAAAAAAAAAAAAAAATTTGTCGAGCAATCCTTGAGAAAAAAAAATGTCCTCCCCCCTCCTGCCCTCTTATAAAACCATCCAGCAAGTAAAGTTAATCCAAGCGTACAATCGTTGCTACGTTAGTCCTTTTCGAATAATCATCGAGGCATGCGTGCAACACATAGCATCTACCGTTCTCAGATGGCCAGCTGGGATAAGGGCCGGAGTCCTCTAAAGTGTATACGCGGATATGATAAGATCGGCTACTGTCTCTCGAGACATTATCATTTGACTTTTAATTCTTGTTTTATCATAGAGCGCCAGAGGAGCGGTGCCTCTTTGGTACGAGGGAGCGTAGGCGGCATACGGAGTGACTTCCGATCGATATGCACCCGGTATATGGTTATGTATATCTGGTGTGTATGTATATATATATATTTAAGGTCTCAAGTCTAACGGAAGAATTGGAGCCGATTGCGACTGCAACTACTGTACTGCTATAGTCTACTCGCGTGTACGTATTACGTTATATATATATATATATATTATTGTCAGTCAAGAACTACGGTCGACTCGCCAGATCGTCAAGATTGGTGCACGTCATTGTACCTGGATGCCGGACCGAGCGCGTAGCAGGAAAAAAAATAATGGAGACCGCAAGGGCTGAGAATAAAGAATTTATTTAGCCTCCTTGTTTCTCAAGGCAATAATGGTAAGTCCGCTTCGACCCTTGAAATCATTAAATCGGACTCGGCGCGCGATATGACGAAAGAGTATAGATAGGATAAATTGTATAGCCTACCGCGGCTACTGGGAGCTGATATATCTATGGCGATAAGCTTTCTCCGGGCGTACACTGTGCTGTGCGTCTGTCGGGTATACCGAGTAACAATTGAGAGACTCGTAAGAACGAATTCGTTCCTGCGCGAACCTATGGGAAGTTGAAAATTTGGTATCGTCCTCGTACGGGCGAGGGGACCGATTTCCGGTTTATTTTTTCTGCTTTCCTTAATCCAACGCGCTGCGAACTGACGAAATTTACGCGCAAACGGACGCGAAGAAGGAGAAAATGTCCAAATAAGTTGTCAGAGGGCGAGTAACGAGGCGTATAATAAACCCTTGGTGACATTCGAACAAACAGCCATCTGTAGGTTAATACCCCTGCGGTGAAGAACCGCCCCAAAAACTACACCCTGCCATGAAATTACAATGACAATACGAAATCTGATCGGCCTGCGGGCACGTACAGTTTCCTTCTTTATTTTATTTTTCTCTTTTTCATTTCTTTTTTTCCCCCCTCTTCTCTGTCCTTATCTGGCTATGTTACATTCTCCCTCTCTCTCTCTCTCCCTCTTCTTCACACCTCTCACAATATACTGGTAATTCTATAGCATTTGTACCATTGTACCATTGTGCATTAAGCTATAGTCTATTATATATAGCACACTTCCTACCAAACGCGGCTACCTTTTTTTTTTTTTCAACTATACTTTTCGTATCCACTGTACATCCTGGGTCCGGGCAAATTTCTTATCCGACGTTACTCTCTTGCTGTTATACAAACTCGTGTTTAATACGTACCCCCGTGAATACGACACTGCTAATACCGCTGTCACGAAATGGGTGGTAAAAATCATTCGGCACAAAGAGAACAAACTATTCGTATAGAGAAGGTCGAGTCGCTTTCGAGCTATTAGCTTAAATTTTGAGGCGGGTTCGAGAGCAGGACTCTCAGGCGCAGGAACGTGTTATTTCGAGGGGTTGTTATTTT